CGATGTAGAAGTGGTGCCTACGAAGATTAATACGAATTCTGTTTTAAACAAAACAACGAACCAAGTCAATTACACAATTTCGTTCAACAAGGCAGAGGTGAAGTTGTAATCATATCACTGGATTCTCCCCCTCCAATTGCACCCCTCCCGCCTTACCCACCCTCACCCTTTTAATCAATATCAGCGGTTAAGGTGTCGAGGTTACGAGAACGGTGCATTCCCTCCACATCCCCTCCCTTCCCGCCATCCCCACCGACCCCTCCCTGTGGTGTCAGCGGTGATTGTGCATCACCTTTGCCAATGCATAAAGACGGTTGCAACTGACTCTCCGCCACACTCGGCCCAACATCAGACTCTGACTCGATCTCGGATCTGCCTTGCATTGCAGCATTTGTTATCAATAAACTCTTGTACGTGGCACCTGCATCCGGCGGCAACGTCGTTGACACATCGATGGGTGAGGACGATTGTGCCGCGGCGACCGAGATGGATTTTTCCGATATTTGCGGCTTAGACGTGATGTCAACCTCTTGAGGCCCGACAACAGTAGTCCCGTCATCTCCCCTGTGCCCTGCTTGCGCGGCCACAGAGGCCGGCTCAGCCGAAGGCATGAAATCATGAGAGCAGCTCCCCTCCAAGGTTCTGGCGGTTTGATCAACCTTCCAGTTGATTGACCCGCGTGAGGGACTCGAGCGCAGGGCATAAAATTTGTTGCTGTACTCCAGTTGCCGATTGTCGAGCAAGACATGAAACAATTCTTCGGCCTTGGCTTTGATGGCGGCCTCGTTCTGCTCTGGATTCTCGACGCGCACGCGATGCAGGATCGCGAGTTCCGTCGTTTTCAACCAGATGTCCTTTGACATCCGGCGAAAAGTCTTCCAACCGCTTGTGTATTTCACCGCCATCTTCCACTCCCCATCTTGGATGCACGGTTGTAAAACGCCCTCATGCCATATGATGTCATGGCCCCACTGATCCTCGCCTGTGTGGGTGTGTTTGCCCTCCAAGAAATATATCGTGTCCGGGTCAGCACAGTAGCGTGAAGGAATTGCATCGCCTGGTGCGAGCGTCGACGCCTCGCCTGGTATCTCAATATCGTCTTCTTCATTGCCACCGCATCTACCAATGTCTTGCAATGCAGCACTCTCGGATGGGGCCACCATTGAGGCGACGCTTGGGGCAGCCACCGGGATGGACCCTCCGTGCGAATGGACAGTTCCGTTTTCGTGAGCTTGCACCATTCCACCGCGCGGAACCTCAGCACATGTGTCCTCGCCCAGTTCGAGGTCGGAGTCCGAAGAATCTTCCTCGCTATCGACGGGGTTAAAGCCATCGCCCGATTTCGCGAGCTCCGCGTAGTCCTTGGACGTCAATTTGTCTTTGCGAAGATCGAACTTGAGGATCTTGCATCGAGCAACAAAAGTCTCAAGGCGCCAGTGAGAGCACCGTGGTAATGTTTGAGGGTCTCTATTGCCTTTGCTTTCCTGTATATATATTTCCCGTCAAGCCGTCCTTGTGGCATATCGCGGAACAAGTACTCCCACACCTTAAGTCTCTTAGGCCCCAACTTGTGGAACATGTCCCTGTTCGGGCGATGTTTGCAACGCGGTTTCTCGATGTGGCAGTTGAATCTGTAGTCCTTGACAAGTATATCGATGAACTTTGTCAAGTATGCAATGTCCTTTGCCGACTCGTCACATGCAATGACATTATTCCCTGCCAGTAATAATTCCCACACAAGATCCGCGTGCGCCCTACCCAATAAAAGCACACCTTCCGCCTCCCCGACGAATGACCCACACAACGAACGCAACTTGCCAGGCTCTCGCTCCCAGATGGAATACACCACACTTTCATCGCCCTCTATGCCACCGTGTTTCCCCAGACACTTCATGAACTTGTCCTCCACAACATGTACGTTTGTGAGGTCATTGACAAGGCGGGGTGCGACCGTGACCTTTCTGAGATCCCCTCCCTCCGCGTGCAGGACAATGGCCATCATGTCTCAACTCGCCGTAGCGATATTGCCATACCTCGTGATGTTATTCGATGGCCTGTCCACCCGTTTCCAGGTCCCGAGGATGAGTTCGATGTCCTCCCACTAGAATAAGCAACGCAAAACATAACTTTGCACCTTCTGCGGTGCGAAGACAAAAAGAACCTAATTAACGCCACAACACTTAGTCACCATAGAGTGCAGAGCGTCGAACTCTTGAGAGGTCCATGTCGTGCAGAAGTTAGCGGGGGAGATGTCAAGGATGACGGCCCTGCATGTCATTTTTTGCGCCGCAGCGACGATGTCGTCTGGCGCAGCCAGCACTTCCTTCAATGGCATGCACACCGGTAGCAATGTTGTTTGTTTTTTAAGTTTATCCCACACGATATAACGTGCGCTGGAGGCGACCCGTTTGACCTCCACCCGAAGAAGATCGAGCTTATCGATTGAGGTGTATACAAACACCTTAAAGTGGAACRGAGCCTCCTTATACATTGTCGTCGTAGGGCCCAAGCCTGATCCTTGCGTTGCCTCCTCCACCCCTCCAAGCCGTCGAGGGACCGTCTTCACTTTGCTGACATGCAGCTTGTCTCATTCCTTCTCCCATTCAGCTGCACACAGACCGTTCGGCCTATACCTGTCTTCGAGGTCCTTGTATGACATGAAGAAGGCATCATTCCACTCATCGTCCGCCCTTCCCTCGGCGCGAAAAACAACGTAGTTGAACATACGGACCATGTACCGTTCCTTGCGCATGATGTCGAGGAGGCACTCCGTATTCACTCTCGGAGGCATGACCTTGACGTTCGTCGCGACCACCTTCCCTTTCATGAGGAAGGACAGAGATCCTTCCACGACACGGTGGAGCCTTTGGGACCATCTCTCGCGTATATGCAATGGTATAATGTTCTTTGCCCCTTCGTCTCGTCGGTGTACGGGCCTGGCTGGCGCCCCTCCATCCTACCCGGCATGTCAAGCGGTATTTTACCATCGCCAACTGGCAGCTTTCCCTCGTTGAACATCTCGAAGAACTTCTTGACCAGTGGCCACACAGCCTCGGTGGATGTGGCCAGGTTCATGTAGCCACGGAGTTTATTGCTCCAATCCTTACTGTACTCATTCTCGAGCGCCT